GGTACTAAGATATTACGTCATCGAAAAGAGAAAAAAATTTCTTTCAAATGGGCCTAACGAAACAGAACATTGCTATTTAAAAAAATTCAAGTATTATTCTTTACTCATTTGTTTTCTGAAATAAAAACAATTGCATGGTGTCTTATTATAGAAAATAAAATGTTAAACAACTTTTATATAATAAGTTTTTTCATAAAGTCGATATTTAACGACCACGTAGTACTTGCCAAAATAACACAACTTTTTTATATGTACAATATGTCCGTAAAGTAGCAGATATAGACGTTAAAATCATTAAAAACGGTTTATGGAAAAATCCCTGAAAATTTGAAATCTACACCAAAAGATTACAAAAAATTTAAATCTTTAGACCCGTTTCAGGGTATTTTCCATAAACCGTTTATAATGATTTTATCGCCTATATTCCCTACTTTGCGGACATACTATATAAACATAGAGTCGCAACTTTTCTGTTTTCGAGGTATGACCGATTAAATTTGAGCCAAACATTAACATTTTATATTTTATTTCAGCTATAAGTAAAGCGTAGAATTTAAAACTTTGTACGTTTTTACTATTGGTTAAAACCTTATTTTCAAGCATACCTTAAGCTTCAAAAAAAAACACCATAGAATATTAAAATAAGAAAACATGAGTTCCTTAAAGATAATAGTTTTCACGTAAAAAAAAATAGAATATTAAACTAAAATAATATTAAAATATAATTAAAAAAAAATTGTGTCATGGTATTAAAAAGTTCTTATAAAAAATTAAGGTATGCTTGAAAATAAGGTCACCAGTATACGTACAAATTTACAAATTCTACGGTTTACTTATAGCCGAAAAAAAATTAAATGTAAATTTTTGGCTCAACTTTGATCGCTCAAAAACAAGAGAGTTTCGACCCTATGTTTATATAAAAACACTTGTGTTATTTTGGCAAGTACTACGTCCTAGTAAAGTTTCCCGATTAAAGTCTGAACCACCTATACAGGTGGTCAGAGTGCCCCGTATCTTCCGCGTCAGAGCATTATAAGGTTGTAGGATACATTATTCTGAAGCGATCTTTCTAATAAAATTTTTCCGTAATGTTTATAATAACGGGAACTGTTTAAACGAACTGTTTTTTCACCAATAGCAGATCGTAAATCAGACACAGGTAATTGGCCCAACCCTCGGCCCGTCCGCCGGGCCGATCATAGCACGTTTCTCACGTGTACTCACCAATAGATTCGACACGGAAAGAGAAATAAACTTTCTAATAACATTTCAAAAAAATGTTATTAGAAAGATCGCTTTAGAATAATGTATCCTACAACCGTATAATGCTCCGAAGCGGAAGATACGGGACACACTGTACCATACACTGTACATACACTGTACACTGTACCATACATAATGGGCACCCTGTATTTAAACATACTATAAGGGTACTTGATGCCGCCAAAATCGACAGGGTAATTTTTAAATTATTCTAAAAAACTAAAGGTAGTTTACCCCCTCAACCCTCGGATATACAGGGCCCCAATACCTGTTCTGGTAAAAATAAGAAAAAAATTCCATGTCTCTTAGCTATGTGGTAATAGACATATTTTTGAAAATGTTATATTATGAATCTTTGCAATTCAATAGTGATTTTTTTAATAATGTGTTCCTTAGGACTCATGCTACTATAGAAGTCACAAATCAAACAACAAAAGTCGTTAGTTTTGCAAAAAAATATTAGTTTGATTGAGTTAAGGTTGAAAGAATTTTTGTCTATTAAGTTTGACACACGATTTCTAAAAAAAGGAGTAGTACAGCACCCTTGGCAAGTTATTTTAAAAGATGGTCTGTTTAGTCAAGATTCCAAAATGTTATAACACTTGCCATTCTTCTTTTCCTAAAAAATATTATTGCCTGTTTTTCTGCAAAAAACAAGTTATTTAAAAAATTCATACTGTCGTATGTTATTTGTATTTCCTCCAAAATAATTTAACAACTTTCCTAGAAGATGTGCCACTCAATATCTACAGAGAAAAGTTGTTTCAACAAGATGGTGCCCAGCTCATTATGCTTGTCCTGTATGGGATTGAATACAGAATATCCCGAAAGATGGATTGGGCGTCTTGGTTCGATTACGTCGCCTGCTCATTCTCTGGGCCTAAATCCCCTTGATTTTTTTTATTAGAATTGCACAAAAGATACAGTGTATTAAAAACCGATTGTAAATTTTGCCGAACTGCGCCACAGTATTTATACAGGTCGTGTGATAAGCGACAAAGTACATGAATGCATTAAGGAGCCGAAATATGCAGTTCTTCCTTAGACAAAAGTTTTAGGAAATTTATCACAAGTGTTCCATAACGACGTACCGAAATAAACATACATTATTTTAAATGGCACTCTATTTAAGGATATCTAAGCAGCAACTGTCACAAATGTTAACTTTCTAGCTCGATCAGTCGCCAAGAAATTCAGATTTGAAGGGCAGTGTTAATTGCTAAAAAAAAGCTTCTAATTCAAATAATGCAAAAACTAAAAGCTCTAGGTATCAACATGTCTTATCAAAGTCAACTTAGTTTGGTGTGTAGAATCAGAATACGCAATAAAAACTAACGCGTGTGAAGTTGGCCATAGATTTTAAACTGAAAAAAATGCTCGGGGTATTTAATCGATCTAATTTCAATGGCATCGTATTCATGGTCGCCTCTTGTTTCAAATTCGAATAGAAAATTTTCCTAACCATTTCTTATATTCCGGAAAAATCGATTTTCTTCAATCATAAGCAAATGTCGACCTGTTCGGGGCTTCTAATCGATCCCATTTCAACGGCATTATATTCCTGGTCGCTTCTTGCATCAGAATCAAAAAGAAAATTTTCCTAACCAATTCTTATATTCCGAGAAAATCGTTTTTCTTCAAACAATCGCATATTTTGACCTGTTCGGGGTCTCTAATCGATCTAATTTTAACGGCATCGTATTCTTCTTAAAGAAAAAAGTGGTGGGCTTGAAAAGTGAACCTTCGATGAAGGGTTTAACAAAACACGGGCATTCGTACATAAAATTTTTTGGTAATATGAAATGTATTGGCTGTAAGTCGCTGGAGACTACGGAAAAGAAATAATATACTACTTTAAGAAAATTCAGAACAATTGCAATCAGCATAAAAATGAACAACAGTTAAAGAATAACAATTATTTTTCAAGTCAATTTGGACAGACGTTTTTACAGCACGTTCCATATATGCCGATGTGGACAAGTTTATTAAAACCAATAAAATACAACAATTTGGTTGAAAACTGGTTCAACATTTTTAAAAATAATATTCTCAATCAAAATGAATTAAGAGACAAACCGTTCAGATTTATTCGTAAAATCAGAAATTATGTTCTAAGTGAATACAACGAAGTCAGATATAATATTAAAAGAAGGAAATGTGCACCGCGCGCACGACAGCCTGCAAAAGAATTTGAAGAATCTTGGGGAAAACAAAAAAAACAGTTAAAACAAAAACAAACAAAAGTTAAAACAGACCTGTCGAAAAAATTGTCTTATATTAATCAAATTCCAAATGTAAAAAAAAATTATCAAAAAATTATGTCGTTGCAAAATTTAATAACGAAAAGCTTTACTACGAGAGCTTTGATACAATCAATTGCAAAATGAACAAACAAGACATGTGGTTGGATAATTTAGTCGTTGATTATGCAATGAGAATATTGGCAAAGGATAAAAATATTAAAATATTTTGTCAGGGAAAAGTGGAAAATATTATGAACGGGTTTTTACCAAAAACAATTAGCAAATTCCAAAAATATTCTTTCCCTATATTACTTAGTAGTCATTGGATGCAAATGGTAGCAAATGTTGAAGATCAGCAAGTTTTATTTTTTAATCCAATGACTATTGAAACTAGAAAAGCACAAACTTATTATAAACAATTGTCCAACTGATTGTTGGATTGGCGATTGTTTGAAGAAAAACGATTTTCCCGGAATATAAGAAATGGTTAGGAAAATTTTCTTTTCGAATCTGAAGCAAGAGCCCACCAGGAATACGATGCCGTTGAAATTACATCGATTAAAAACCCTGAACGGGCCGAATTTTGCGAAAGTTTGAAGAAAATCGATTTTCCCAGACTATAGGAAATGGTTAGGAAAATTTTCTTTTCGAATTTGAAACAAGAGGCGACCATGAATACGATGCCGTTGAAATTAGATCGATTAAAAAACCCGATCACGAATTTTTTTCAGTTTAAAATCTATGGCTGAAATCTATGGCCAACTTCATACACGTTAAAAACTACACAATTCCATTTAATATTATAACATATGGTTATTTCAGTACGTCGTTATGGAACAGCCAGTATGTATAAAAATATTTGTCGTTTATAGTGTGCTACATTTCTATATTTTTTTGAAAAGAAAAATGGCAAGTGTTGTACCATTTTGGAAACTTGATTAAACAGGCGATCTTATAAAATTACTTGCCAAGGTGCTGTACTACTCTTTTTTTTTAGATATCGTGTGTCAAACTTAACAGATATAAATTCTTTTAACCTTACTCAGATCAAGGTAATATATTTTTCGGAAAACTAAGGACTTTTGTTGTTTGATTTGTAACTTCTATAGTAGCATGGTTAATAATCATTATTAAAAATATGTCTATTACCACTTAACTAAGAGACTTGGAATTTTGTCTTATTTTTACTAGAACAGGTATGGCCTTTCGCCCGGTACAGCTTGACAAAAAGCTCCTTAGAAATAAATATCAATTTAAAAAGCGAGTATATACCGTTTATACGAACTTAGAACTACCAAATTGCAATGAAATCGGTGAGGGATACTTTCCTTGTGAGACATACAAACGTGTATAAAAGCATAGTGATAACTCATCCTGTAGAAATCGAAGCAAGCGAAATTGTTAGATCATCGGTCGTCGACATCACGAAATCGCCAATCTCACGATTTACTTCTCACGCAACTAACCAGCCAAGATGGATTTGCTAAGCTATACCTTCCACTTTTCTTCACGTGCAAGTTTTCTAAAGTTTTTTGTAGAATCGTCCTATTTCCATCAATCTTGGGACCATTCGTAACTCCATTACTACCACTTTTCACCGTTTGTATCGCACAATTGTTCACTTTATTACCATTAATATTATTATTAGTCACCAATTTCGTTGAAGTTTTCCTTAATTTTTTCCTCTTTGCGTTTAACAATTTCTGTTTCAACATTTGATATTCTCTTTGTTGAGATTTCGGTAATAATTTCACCACTGATTTATCCAAAAGTATTTCTCCCGAGGTATCTTTCTCTTCATTAATATCTTTTTTTGATTTTTCTTCTACAGCCGCTCGTTGGGTTTTCAAAAACTCCTCGATTTTTGTGTTATTTACTTCCATTTTGATGTCTTTTTCGCTATTTTTTTCTTCTGAATCGGATTCATCTGAATCTTTTAGGTTTATTATTAATTTTTTAACAGGTTTTGGTTTAATTTGGATTATTTTTTGTGGTGGCTTTTTGTTAATTGGTGGATTTTTTGGAATTACTTTATTGGACATGGATACCAATAACATTGCTCGCATTATATCCACATCTTCTTCTATAGATGTGTTGTGCCCCCAATTTTCAATGGGAGGTTGATCGTTTTCTTTAATTTCATCCTCTTTATTATCATTATTAACATCATTTTCTTTATTTTCTTTTCTCTTTTTTCTCTCAGCTGCTTTTTTAATCATTGCAGACTTTAATGCATCTAACCTTAATTGAATTAACTCTTCATCCTCCTCCTTACCTTTATTTTCTTCCTCCGGAGTAACTTCAACATTTTCATTCGTTTTCTCTTTTGATAACAGAGCTAATTCTCTCAATTTATCCAATTCCTCATCTTCATCCTCTTTCTTATCCTTATCAGTGGGATTATTAACACCCAACATTGATTTTAATCGATTTTCCAAGGGATTAACGTGCAATTCAACTTCATTATTGATTTGAATAGCCCTTTGAAATTGCTTTTTTAAATCCACGTCGAAATCGTGATACCCCTTTTTAAGTTTACGTCGTTTGCAACTCGCCGATGATCTTTTACGTTTACGGTGATGGCGGGGTTGTTTTGAACCCCGAAAATGATTTGATGATGCATCGGATGTTACGGAAGGTACGTCCGAATCGGAATCGCTAATGCTGCTCAAAGAAACGGCACGTAATAAGTCTCTATGCGATACGGACTTACCAACTCCAAGTACGGGCGGAGAGCACGGTATCGAACTTTCCGAAATCACTTCGAAAACGTCCTCCACTACTTCGTCGCTCTCGTCATCGATTATTTCGCCCTCTTCGGGTTCCTCTGGCACCGATTTTACCATAGTTTCCATTTACGCACTAAATTAATACGCAACACGTATGGAGATAACCTCACAATGAATTGAAGTGAAGATAGCGGTGGTTCTTTTCAACTGTCAAACCTTTGACATATTTAAACTAAAATCGCGGGAAATTTGAAATAATAACCTTAAAAATCCTATTTATTTAAGTAAATAATATAAATAATAGATTTAAATTAAATAAAACGAAATTTACATTATTAAATCATTTACTTTATTATAATACATTAACTTTTACAAAGAATTTATAATTTTTCTTGACCTCATCTGCTTCAACCAATCGTCTAATTGTTCTTGTGGCTCTTTTGGAGCATGTAAATAATAATTTTTGGGTGGTTTACCCTCTTCTAATCGTACGAAATAGTGGCAATGGAAATATTCGACAATTCCAGGCCTCACTCGGGCGTGACGTCTTACACCTTTAAAAACTGGTCCTTTTCCCACAAAAGATTCGGCTAACACACCACAAATAAACAAATTATTTCATAATTAATAAGAATTTACACCAACCAACTTACCAACCCATAAATTACTACCAAATTCAACATTATGTCTCTTAACAGCTAAATCTCTGGCTTCCTCAATGGTTTCTCTAACATCTTTGGCCCCCTTTTTTAAAACGAATTTTAATTGTTTAATAGCTTCATCAACAGTCATCCCTCGTACAAGACATGCTATGTACCACATTTTCCATGGACTATATTTGATGTTGGTTCTTTGATGGCATACAAACTAAAGAGATAAAACTATACTTTGATATCTTTTTTAAACATTTCGAAACACTTACAGCCGGCCGAGGTTCTTCATGTTCTTCTTGAGGAGGATAAACTATCTTATTGTATCTCAAAAATTTATTTGGTTTATTTGGATTATAAGCAGAAAGAATCGAACTTGTATGAATAGCACTTATTTGAGGTGAAAATAACGCTAAAGGAGTTTTAATTATTTTAGATATTAACATTATTATAACGTTTTTCGATATTATTGAGTACTAAAAGTTAGGTTATAAATTTCAATAAATTTGACTCATATCAAATCTCACGTGTATTAGAAAATCATCCCAACATCTTCTTTCATCTCTTTCTAACCTAAATCGCTCTCATTACGCTATCTCACTTACCCCATGTTGGCATCAATCCATTACTACATCTTGTCAAATCAAATCGTTTAAATTAGGTTATGTTGTAAAAAAGCCGATATAAAATGAGTCTTTTCTTAAGAAATTTCCCAAGTTTAATTGTAAAAACGCATAAAATTAAATCATTTCCTTCCGTACGAAAGTTTTTATCGCAGGCGTATTTTTGTAGCGAACATTGGGAGCATCGTTTAAAAGATCCAATTTTACAAAAAGTTAATGTTGAAGATTTTTATCAAGATTTAGAATTAAGGCACTCAAAAACTGGTAAAATCAGCGCGATAGATGTAGATATATTCGCAAATGCCGTAAAAGAAGATACTTATATTGAAGAACTCTTAGATTTAGTTCACAAATTAAGATTAAGTGCCGATACACAAAATACATTAAATTCAACATCACACGCTGTTATTAGATATTTAAACAATACAAATAACGATGAAGTGTTGTTAAGAGTATTAGATGATCGGTTAAACTACGGAATTTTCTTAGATTACCATATTGCCAATTTATTAATGTTTGATTATTATAAAAAGGGTCTTTTTGCGAATGGAGCAAGAGTAGCAGCAAATTTAATGTTACAGGAAGAATTCGAGAGTCCATTATCAATTAATTTGGGATTATTAAATTGTTACAACTACCTAAAAGACCCTAAAGGTTGGCCTGAACTTGAAAAAATTGAAGAACCAGAAGAAGAAGTTAAAATTCGAGTTAAATATTTAAGAAATCCTTTTGATGATGATCATTTTGATCTTACAGCACCAAACAAAATCATTGGAAAAACTTTAATTACATTCACTAAAAATCCTGAAAGCGTATTAGAAAAATCTTTACATTTACTTGGATTAATTTTATATGAAAAGCTTGATAAATCAAAAGACTTCTCAAATAAACTCGATAAAATCCACTCTGACATTTTAAAACTAATCCCAGATGACAATGAAATTAAGAAATTTTTTGTGGAAATTCCCCAAGATTCTGAAGATGTACAAACTCTTTTGGAGCAGCGAGTTAAAGATTCTGAAAGGAAAATGGGGGAACGAGATATTTCTAATCAATGTGACCTTTATAATAAATGGATTGAAGAGAGGAAAAAGTCGCTTTTGGAACAGAATGAAAGGATTAGATCCGAACAACGATTACTAGATGTTGAAACACTCAAAAAAGATTTACAAGAACGCGAAACTAAATTGTGGTTCTTTGAAAATGAGGAGAAAATCGAATTGGAGATTCTTGCGAAAAGTCAAATGCAAAAACAGAATGAATCTGTTGAGGAAAAAAAAGTTTCTGAGAAAAAAGAGGATTTAAAGAAAAAGAAAGGGTTGAAGTAATATTGTAATTTAATAAATAGTTGAATATGAATAAATTTGTTTTATTTATTTATTTTTTTTGTTTTTATTCCAATTTGTTATATAAACTCTAAATTAGTTATTTATTAAGCCTCATTCTTGCATAGGCCTGGCGCGAATGGAAAAAAACTGTTTATTTTATAAGGTTTAAATAAAATATTTGTTTGTACTTTCACTGGTTTATTTTGTTATATTTTTGTCTGATTAATTTCGCCTTAAGGTATCCTCAGAGACTTTGTTTAAAACTTAAAATAAATTTATAAATAACATTTAATTCCGAAATTAGATGAAAAAATCTTTAAAAATCTTAAACAGCACATTATATTTTAAAATACAATAAATACAATGTTTTTCAAGATTTTATTGAATTTTAAATTCTAAACAAAGTCTCTGAGAATGCCTTTAAGGCGAAATTAGTCAAACAAAAATATAACAAAATAAATCAGTGAAAGTAAAGAAAAAATATTTTATTTAAGCTTTATTTACTTACTGGTAAAATGGAGCCTTGCTTCTTTCAACAATAAGTAAGGGTAAGGGGGGTACAGTGAGACGGAAAATTTTGAGGGATCATTTTTATTTATATTATGCATAGCACGATTGTATAACACCTACTGAATACATACTAATTAGTTACTTTATGTATTATTTACAATAAGATAATGTTGTGCCGCTTTTCCCAGTGGTCCAGTCTACTTTACACATAATATAGATAAATATTGTCATATTTTTACCGTTTTAAGATGAAAACACAAAAACGCACACACTACGATACGCGGAACACACATTTAGGATATTATTGTTTTTATTAATATTATTACTTCCCATCTTGTTAGAATATTTATGTGGATAAAAAACTTTGCTTTTCAGAAGGGTGGAATTTTTTTATTTTCGGCTCAACCGGTTTCGACTATTTTTTAGTCATCTTCAGGAACAATAGCCACGTCAGTTTCATTCTTAATTTTCATAATCTGAATTCATCTCTTCTTTTACATATGCTTTCTTGAATTCTTTGTTATTAAATGATGTTAAAATTGTTTCTAATTTTATGTTTTTTCTTATTTTCTAGATCACGTTAATCTTGTTAATCTTTACAATGGTTGTTTTATTTTATTTTATTTTTTTTTATTTTCTTTTTAAATAAAACAACCATTGTAAAGATTAATAAGAATAAAGAATTTTGAATCCATATTGAACTAGACTGGAAATCAATCAGCTGCATTTCAAATTCTTCAATTTCCAACCACTCCAATTGGGACAAATTCAGTTTATCTAATGATGCGCTGAATTATCTTATCTTTATTATCGAAATCATCAAAAAGAGAGGACGAGCATGCTAACCAGACTTCCTTCAAAGACTCCTCCTCTTGAAAAGGTTTACTATGCCGAGCAATGACATTTGTAGCCGCGTAACTTGCAGCGCTCGTATGACAATTTTTGAGAGTATATTTAGTCATAGATGTTGACTGTTTATTTCTGTCTTTCAATACACTTGCAATTAATTCTTTTTGCTCTGGTTCGCTTTTTTGACTAACGGATTTGTGATTTGTTTCAAAATGCCGTTTCACAGACGATGTTCCAGAACATAAAACACACACCGCCTTGTCACCTTGACTAATCATGCATATTTCTCTGTCCACCAAGTTTGAAATTCTCTGATACTCTTTCTATCTTGTACTTTTTGTTTTTTGCTGAACTAGCCATAAATAACGCTTAAAATCATAGATAAAACTCAAATAAACTTCGAATCAAATATTCACTATAATGTTAGCCATAAACAAACTATGCGTCATTAGCAATAAAAACTCATGATTGTAGGGATTGTAGGGATCACTCGCGTTCGCTCGTCATATAATACCTACTTCACACTTTTTCGTAGTGCATCATAATGAATTTTGTGATCAGTGACGTGCCCAAAATATTGGGTCGACCACGTGCCATTGGTTCGCCATCCCTGGATTAGGGCATTAGGTTACTAAATCGAACGGCTTCATCCTCCGAAGGCGATACAGGACATCCTCGTTGTCGAGAAGCTGGATGTCCTCGATGTTGGGATGATCGTGCATGTTTAGATGCGAATGATGCAATTTCTGATGACACCGATGCTACTTGCAAGTCGTGATAGAGGTCGGTATTTCTTATATACCACGGTGCATTCACTATACACCTTAGCACATTGTTTTGGAATCTTTGAATCAGACTTGCATTTCTCCTACAGTTGGATTCCGTAAGTCCATTTTGGTTTTAATACTTGCTTGTATATTAGCAACTTTTGATTTTCTTCCATTAAGCCAATATAGGTGTCTAAATTTGATATCAAGATCTTCACGTTTTTTTTTGACGTGAGCTTTACATTTTAGTTTAGCATCAAGCGTCATACCAAGATACCTATTTTGTAGTATCGGCTTAAAGGACTACATTGTCATTTATGTGTCCTGGGACATAATTTACTTTCTTATAAGTAAAGTTTATGTATGTCGATTTATTTGTATTTAATTTTATTCTACATCGTTTGGACCAGTTTTCTATTGAATTTAAGGCCAATTGTAACTTATTTACTGCAACTACTTCATTTTCTGCAACAGCGAAGATCGCTATGTCATATGCGATTGTAGCTGCTAAAGTTTCTGGTATCTGAGGATGGTTGAATGTGTAAAGTACAGTTTTGGGCTAGTGGTGAATAAGCGTTTTCGTATTTTACTCTAAAATATCAATCAGAAAGATACGATTTTAATAGTTGATGGTAGTATTTGGTCTAGTTTGTAATTTAAACCATCTTACCAGACTTTGTCAAAAGCTTGTGCAACATCCAAAAATATAGCGGAGCAGACTTTATTTTCTTTCATTGTTATTTCGATAGTAATTGTTATTCTATGCATTTGGTCTATTGTTGCATGTCTATTCCGAAACCCAAATTGATGTGTTGGTATTAATACCAGGTTTTACTCTTTTTAATATGTAGTTATTTTTCAAATAGTTTTGATAGTAAGGGTAATAATGAGATTGTATGATGTAACATCTGTAGGGGGGTTTACCAGGTTTTGGTATCATTATTATTTCAGCAACTTTCCATATACTTGGGAAATATTTCTGTTTAAAAGCAGCATTAATTATGTGTAATAGTTTTGTAATCGCCCGTTTTGGTGCGACTGATTTCTTTATATTTAGTTTTTGTATTTCATAATACAGTTCTTTCATTCTTACACATGGTATATTACTCTGCTGATCACTTCGAATTATGCTAGAAACACTATTTAAGATAGTTGTTGGACTGTCTGATGTAAAAGTTTTTTCAGATGTTCAAACAAATTAACTTTTTCTTGATTGCTCCTAGTCCAATTTCCATTACTATTTCGAATTGAAGGTGTATAAGTAAGTTGACTTACCAGTGGAGAGCACCTCACAATGTAGGGCCTCTATTGCATGTTTCAGTTCTCTTCCTTTTGTATTTATCAAGCGAGAACCCCAAGACATATATTTTGCATTAAAGTCTCCTCCAAGTATAAATTTGTTTTCAAGATGTAGAATTTTCTGATAATCTTCCCTTTTAAGACTATATCTCGGCGGTATGTACGTTGCTGCTACAGATATTAAGCCATTAGCAGTTGAAACCACTCTAGTTTGATGTTGTTTAGTACTAACTGTATTGTTCAAATAGTGGTCAATAGTACTTTTAATGATAATTGCAATTCCACCTCGAGCCGCATAAACAGGTGAATTGTGTGATAAATATTGTAATGGTTGATGATACGATTCTCATGTATCAATAATAATAATAATAATAAATAGAATTCCACAGCATTATTTTTGGTTGCTGCTTTTTAGACATTTTAATTTCTTTTTTGAAGCGCTCCTTGGTTTAAGTTGCTTTCAATGAAATCTAGACGTGCGTATAATGTTTTTATAATTTTTTCTTTTTGAAGTATTTTTTCTAGTATTAGATCTAATTTATTGTCAGTCTTTTTATCGATTAATGTACTTACAGTTTTTTTTGCAGTTTCACGTTTGGGGCAGTAAGCTTTGATGTGGCTCCAACCTTGACACCTTTTGCACTGGGGCATTTGTTTTGCTTTTCTGTACTCTTCGATTTTGATACGAATTCCTAATATATTTGTTATTTCATGGATTCTTTTTATATCTTCTGACGGTATAAAATCCAAGATGTATAAAGGAAGAACATCACAGCTAAAAAGATACATAAATCTTTTTAGGTTTGCTTATTTTCATAAGTGGACCAGGACAAATTCTTTTCAGTAAGCAAGCTTCGATGTTTTTCTGTATTTTTGTTCCGAATTAAGATTCAGTTTTACTGTGCCGTTGTTTAGCGCATTTGTAAAAAATCCATCTTTAATTACGGTTTTAAGTAATTTATAAATGTCATCATATTATTTGACATCATAAATTAATATTGGTGGGGGTAGTAGGATTTTATGATCCAGTCAGCCTCTAAAGCTAACTCATCTTGGTCTGTGGTATACACCACTTTGGTGGTTACTGGAGAGTTAAGATTTTGTTGGGTTTTTAAACCTTCTGTATGTAATGTCCTTCAGGTCATCTATTTGTTTCTCACAAGTAGCTTCATCTTGAGTGCGTGGCTCCTTTATTTGTTCGATTTCTTTTTTAAGTTGATCGGAATGTGTTTTTTCCTTTTTTAGGGAATTTAACAGTGAGAATTCCATATCCGTTTTTGGTGTAAAATTTTTTCACAAATTGAACGGGGGTGATATTTGATAGAAAAAATAATTTGCTTTTACTTGTAAAAGTACATTGAAACAATATAATATATTGTAATAACGTTAGTATAATATTATAAATGTTTACATTACAATAAACTAACAGGAAAAAAAATATATAATGAGTAATTTAAAAAGGTGTATTTGTCTTAATGTTCCCCCTTAGCTCCCCCGAACTGTGACGCTGAAGGCTATTACCATCACATAATCCTTTAGCAACACTAAAAAGATTCTCTAAAGGATCTTGATTTAAAGATCTCAAAGTAAGATACTTAAAACCTTTATGCCTTAAAGATTTGCGAATTACCGTACATTACCAATTGTTGCTAACAGTAATTTGATCGTAGGTTTCCACACTCTTACCATTGGACAAAAATTTAAGTTGACTTAACTTCCTCCTCGCACCATCCCAAAATGTAATATGTTGAGTTGTTAGTTAGTTTGCATACTAAAGGTTTCGCAGAGGTAAATACAGAATTAAGAGAATCAAAGAGGTCGTTCATGAACTTAACAAATATCACTGTTCCCGTAGCATCCATAACGCCTGCTTTCGACAGAATATTAAGGACGGAGTTACTAAAAACTTGCGCTGCAAGCTTTACTTTCATCTTCTGATGGTTAGTGGGGTTTACGTGGGAACATGTAAGCTTCGAATATGTTTGCTACGATACCGCAAAATACTCATGCCTTCTTCAACCTCGTGAACAGCTTCTGCTCCTTATCAGTAAGATTTCTCTTCCTACTGGCGCCCACTTCTCGAAGCGTTGTACGACCTGAAAATTATACCTCGTTAATTCGCTATTTATTCTTATTTACTCTCATTTCATTCGACTAACAACAGGCTGTAGTTAATTATAATGTATTAAATATTTAGCTTCATAACCACTCGGACGAGAAATTGGATTCAGAAAACATTGGGAGTAGAATTGGAAAGAGCATTGGGGGTAGAATTGGAAGAAGTATTTAAGTAAATATTTGACGAAGTATTACAACAAGTATTGGAAGAACTATTGGACGGAGTATTGGCATGAATATTGTCTTCTGAATCCGCAACACGATGTGGAAGTTGTGTAAGAGACAATTTATCCCTCGATGTGGCTTGAAATTGGCTTGGGTAAAAATGGCGTTCACAAATACGTACTCTTTTTGTCAAAACTTGGTGGAATGAATGATCTAAAAGATCGTATCGCCCCAATATCTCCAACTATTGCCGCCGCAAACTATCTGTTCCTGGCAAATAGAACATTCGTCGTTGTCCGGACGGCAATGCATTCGTTGGACAGTATTCCTCCACACGTTTCTGCAAATGAAGATTTATGAGAGAATTATTACTTGTTAGGCCATTTGAGAATTTTTTGTTTTATTAAAAATTTTATAGTTCTTCTTATATGATACTTTAAGAATTTTTGTAATGAAAGAAGACAGTAATCAGATTTTTAAGAATTTTGACTTGTTTCTATAAGAAAAAATTGATTTAATTACAGTAAATTATTGACGACATACAGAGTGAAAAAAAGTTTCTATCAACTTACCCTCTAAAATGCACCATTTTCGAGATACAGGGTGTTGAAATTTAATAAAAAGAATCGATTTTTGCGAATATCTCCGGAACCGTTTATCGTACAGAAAACAGCGTTTGTAAGCTTATTTTCTACTAATAATAAGCTAAGTTTTGTGCGAGAAAAAATTTTTTTAAAGTCATAATTGGTGCAGATTTTGAAGGGGTTGTTTTTCTCCCCAATTTCTATGCCATTGTAAAAAGTACAGTTTTGAGACGCTCATTTGAACCGCCAATGTTTTCTACACAAAAAAGGTACTGAAGGTCATGAGCTCTAAAGTTGACTGTTTTCGAGAAAAATCTACTTTTATGTTGAATAAATGATTAATTTTTTGAAATAAAAATTTTATTTTAGTAAAACGTTAGAATAAGTAGCAAAAGCAAAAGTTAACTTCATAATTGCATAATTAAGAAAAACAATTACAAATCATACACAGTTATTAAATTAAATGTTGGAAATGTCCGCCGATAGATTCAATGCACGCAGCAATTCTTCGACGCATTGACTATCTAACATGCAGGAAAATACCCGGAGTGTTCCGAATTATGTCACAGAATGCAATAATGCGCTCTCTTAATTGGTCAACATTTTCTACTGGAGTAGCGTAGACTAGGGTTTACAGATTTAAACAATTAAGTTCGGGAGATAGCGGTGACCAAGGGTTCGGACCTCCTCGACCGATCCAACGGTCTGCGTATTCGTCGTCCAAGTATTGGCGAGGAACCAAACTAAAGCTCCATCATGCATAAAGTACATGTTTTGTCTTACTTGAAGCGGTACATCTTTCAGCAGTTCCGGCAGTACTTCTAGAAATTGTCCATAATCTGCACCATTTAATCTGTTCGGTAAAAAATGTGCGCCTATCAAATGATCACCGACGATGACAGCCCAAACATTTACGGAAAATTGTTGCTGATGATGGCTTCCTGCAATTTCATGTGGATTTTCTGTTGCCTATATGTGATTATTGTGAAAATTGAAAATACCGTCCTTCGAGAAAGATGCTTCATCGGTAAACAGAACTTCGGCTCCAAACTCACGATTTTGAGCTATTTTGTCTTGCATCCACGTACAAAAAGCCAATCTTGGCGGAAATTCTCTTGGCAATAAGGCTTGTACTCTTTGGATATGGTAGGGATATAAAAGTTGCCTTTTCAAAATTCTCCAAACCGTCGAGTGAGATAGGTTTAAGTTGTGAGCAATTTTTCTGGTACTTGTGGTCGGATTTTCATCAATTTCGTTTAGAACAGCCTCTTCTACTAGGGGATTTGCAACTTCCATAGGCCGCCCATTATCACCAGTATTCCTTTTAAAACTTCCATTTTCCCATAGTCGTTGGTGAATTTGTAGAAACAAGTTATGGTGTGATACTGGGCGATCAGGATGTCTTTCTTGATACAACCGCCTTGCTTCTGCCGAAATACCGCACGCCATTCCGTAAAGGTAATGCATTTCGCACATTTCAGCGTTTGTGTAATTCATTTTTAATTTGGTAATACAACTTTATTTTTTGCAGGTACCAACTAATTGTTATTTAGACAGGAGGTAGCTTTTGTTATAAAATTTAGAGCCTACTTGTTAAAAATAAATTATACAATTTTTTACACAAACGCTGAAATGTGCGAAATGCGTTACCTTTACGGTTTAGAGAATTTTGAAACGACACTTTTGTATCATTTTTTCGTATTTTTTATTTTGCAATTATGAAGCTAACGCTTGCTTTTGTTACTTGTTCTAACGTTTAGATAAATTTTGTTTAAGGTCGCCGTTCAATCACGTGATATTAGCAAAAGTGCAAAAAAAATTTGTATAGTTCCGCTGTTGGTTAAAAGAGGTCGTCGAGAGTTCAATTCAGTTATTCATAGCGACGCTTTTTTATATCAGCTTACAATTAGTCATCCTACCGTCGAAATATTTTATTCATTGAGGAATATATTCTGGTTCAGCCTTACGCGATGCCTATTCTCGATATTATTTGGTGTTCTTTTTTTTTTTTTTTTGAAATGTTAATATTGTTATAGTTGGTGTTATTTTCATAACTTAACATTTTTACTTTTAAACAATTAATTTTTATTTTCAATTATTTATTCAAATATTTCTATTACCTAAATTTTGGTTAACACAAATTTTTTTTACCAGTATTAGATCCTAACTCAACATTAACAATGTATTACAACAATATTAAACATTTTCGACCCAATTCCACAGGAATCAGATTTTTGGCCATATACAGGGTGGATCAGTTTTTAATCGGGAAGCTTTACTAGGATGTAGTACTTGCCAAAATAACACAAGTTTTTTATATAAACATAGGGTCCCAACTCTTTTGTTTTCGAGCTATGAGCTGTCAAAGTTGAGCCAAAAATTTACATTTTATCTTTTATTTCGAGTATAAGTAAACCATAGAATTTGAATTTTTGTATGTATGTACTACTGGCTGATACCTTATTTTCAACCATACCTTAAACTTCCCTAGCACCCTCTAAGGGGATGCAATTCACCATCCCCTTGATTTATTTTATAAGAACTTTTTAACGCTATGTAATATTAACATAAAAAAATATGGGTTATAAGCACATACTTTAGTGGTACTTTTTTGTCTCTTTAGTATTTTCTTTAAGGTGGCGATTCGAACCTCTTGGGTTCATAAAATTGATAAAAAAATCGGTTTAATTTCGTCAGTCAATGATTAATATTTCAACAATATTCATGCATTTAATTTTACAACATTACTGAATTCGTCACTTGATTATATTGTATACAGGGTGTTTCGGTGACTCGGGGAATAAATTTAACCACATATACTAGAGTGAAAATGATGACGATTCATGTAAAAAAAAATAGTAAAAGTCTTCAAATTTCAAAGATACAGGCCATCAAAGTTAGGAAATTTTAACACATTTTTCCAAATATCTTAAACACTATTTACAGTAAAGCGCTGAAATTTGGTACAGTATAAATCAATGTCGTGTAAAATTGTTAGGCAATTTATGAGTTGGATCGGTCCGCGGGAACAATGCTTACCGGCTGTTCCTAAAGTTTGTTTGCTCAGAACTTTTTTATTCTTTCATAACCCTACATTTATTTTTGCAGTTTCTAATAGTAAATTTAGTTTAGAAACTTTTATTACTCTTAGATAATATTCATAAAAATCACCGTTTTCGTGTTAAATCCAAAAATGTTGGGTTCCGATTTCAATAGTGCTATTACTAAAAAAAAGAAATCTAAGTTTTTGAACATCCTTTAGTATTTTTTATTACTTGTCTTGTTATTTTATGTACTTTTTTTATTATTCCTGTTAGTGTTGATTTTTAATTTATTGTTTTTGAGTTCTTTTATTAAACCAACTAAAACAAATTAAAAATGTGATTTAGCTAAATCTACACTTGGACATGTTGCATACATAATAGTTATGACAGCTCAGTTCGATTTTCACTTGTCATTGCTAATTCAAATTATTTATTTATTTATTTTTTTTAGTGTTATTGAATTCGGAGCCTAACATTTTTGCATTTAATACGGAAACGGTGGTTTTTATCAATATTCTCTAAGAGTGATAAAAGTTTCTAAACTAAATTTACTATTAGAAAATGCAAAAATAAATGTAGGGTAATGATAGGATAAAAAAGTTCTGAGCAAACAAACTTTATGAACAGCCTGTATAGCATTGTTCCCGCGTACCGATCCAACTCAAAAATTGCCTAATGATTTTACGTGATGTTAGTTTACGCTGTACCAAATTTCAACGCTTTACCATAAATAGTGTTTAAGATATTTAGAAAAATGTGTTAAAATTTCATAACTTTGATGGCCTGTATCTTTGCAATTTGAGGACTTTTACTAATTTTTTTTACATGAATCGTCATCATTTTCACTCTAGTATATGTGGTTACATTTGTTCCCCGAGTCACCGAAACACCCTGTATATGATGGTTTTTTATTGTGAAATAGTTTTGTAAAAATTGTTATTCTAAGATGGTTTTTTTATTGTAAAATAAAATTAAAGTTGTTATTGATTTTTATTATTTTTTATAATGTAGAACCGTTTTTTTTTGTGAATAAATAGTATTATTGTTATCTATGTCTATTACAAATTATTATTACTTTACTTTAGATTATTTATGTTCTTATATCTTGATAACAATTTGCTGTGTTATTTCTTACTTTCTCAGTGTTAATATAATCACTAAAAATTAGGGCGGAAGGACTGTGATCAGCAACTCATTCATAATTGCCTACAAATCTTCTATCTGTTATATATATTTATTTACTCAGTAGTTAAAAGAGAAATTGGCCATGAACAAATGTTATTACCAACTCAAGATTAGTAATCAATTTATAATACGTTTTATAACATTTTATTGGCAATTAATTATTTTTTATATTTATTTTTTTTTTAAATTTTTAATTAGTACCTAAAGCCATCTACAAAGTAATTGCCAAAGGTTTACTTAGTACTGTTTTGTCGATTTTAGGCAACCCATTTTACACCTTTTCGTAATGACTAAAAATTGTGACAAAATCGCATATCTTCAGAAAAAACACATTCATGAAATAATCACACAGCTATTGCACTTTTACGAATACGGAATCTGTTCCTAAGATACATAAGCATTAGATGACATATTTGCCACCTCGTTTAAGTCCCTAATCTCTTCTAGAGAACGATTTGTATTAAGCCCTTATTATGACTAACTTTCGTAATTTATTTCTGTCAGCGTCATGATTATTTTAGAATACTAAATATGTCATTCCGTAGAGTAATATATGTACTTCAAGCCTACGTATTTACTTTTTTATAAATATGTAGCATTAAGTCGTGAATGTACATCTACGTAACCTCTCCCGGCGTATATAAAAATGGACGCTTTGAACCGCCCCCTTAATTGTAAAATAAAGTTTTTATTTCAAAAAATTGACCATGCTTTTCAACAAAAAAGTTGATCTTTCTAGAAAACGGTCAACTTTAGAGCTCATGGCCTACGGTACCTTTTTTGTGTAGAAAACATTGACGGTTCAAATGGCAGTCTCAAAACTGTACTTTTTCAAGTGGCGTAGAAGTTGGGGAGAAAAACAACCACTACCTCTTAGAAACGTTTTTCAAATTTCATTATGAAACATAATGTATATTAAGAAAAAATCTGTGAATTTACAAACTTAAAAACACGATTAAAGGCAGTCTTTTGTTGCAATTCATTAAATGATTTTATATTAACTTATTTTTTAATACAAGGAGAACTTCTTACTTGCTTAATTTATTAAAATTTTTATCAGAACCGGTTTCGAATAATCATATTCATCATCAGGTGAATCTAAATCAAGTACGAACACCACAATTAAAAAATGTATAAAAAGTATAAGAAATAACATAAAAAACTCTTAAAAATAAACTTACTGTCAATATAAGGGTAATATAAAAACATCACAAATAAAAACGAACATTGCTATTACAGCACAAAATGAACAGAAAAATAAAAATCAATCACTGGAAATTTTCAACGTTATGCGAATAATAAAACAACACGAGTCTTAACGGTCTTACAACCCTAAAATAATAAAACCGGATGGAAAGTGAATGAGAAAGGGAGGGGAACCATTTTTAACAAAATCAGGTTTTAGAGTTTGAGGTCTTATTTAAATAGTTGAACAAGGGTTTATAATAACATGAAGTTTTATCATTTAGATTTTCACATTCGGGCGAGCTATCGTATCTTTTTATTTCTAACATTTCAAGAAGATCCAATTTATAGCCTTTGGGTTGTTTATGGATGAGTTTTACGTTATCGTAATTGATTTTATTTCCTGTTTCGATGTTGTGTTTATACATGTTAGACTTATTATCAATTTTGTGTTCTTTGATTATTGTTTGAACATTGCAATTGTGACATTCAACAGATTAAACTCCGTTGCTCTGCAAGGAATCTTGTTTATTATGGTAATGGACAGAACCTTGCTTATTGTGTGGCTGTTGGAGAAAGCCAATGTTATATATTTTGCGAAAATGGCTTTAGATTGAATAGTTAAATTATTGTAGGGTATGGATTTATGAATGGTATCTATATTGTTTTTAGTATATAAAGGATCTCTTTTTAGTTTATATTTATGTATAAGTTTATTGATTATGGTGAGGGGGAAACTATTGACATTAGCAAGGTTTTCAATGTATTTTAGTACTACTTTTCTTTGTTTCGGTTTTAAGGGATAATCGAACGCTCTATTTATTAAAAAACGAAAATTAGCAAGTCTATGTGGTAAAGGGTGGGCAGAATCAAAAGGTATCGTTATGGGTAGTGTTGAAAGTTTACGTAAAAATGTTATATTCAATTTTATTATTATTGTTTAGAAGAGTAAAGTCAAAGAAATTCAATTGTTTTTGTTTTTCAATTTCGAGAGTAAATTTTAGTTTTTCGTTTATGTTATTAATTTGTTTCTGAAATAAATTTAAAGTTTCAAGATTACCTTCCCAAATGCAAAAAATGTCATCTACATAACGAAACCATTTTTTGATGTTGTTGAAGAAAGCGTTGTTATTGTTGATTATGAATTCGTTTTCTATTTGGTTGAGGTAGATGTCAGTATGAAATCCAGATAATGGCATAACCATAGGTAACCCTTCGGCTATATTATAGTAGTAGTTATTATTGATGGTACAAAAGTTTTGTGTGCATATATGTTTTAATATTTCATTGAAATGATCTATTTCTTCTGGGTTATTAGTGATAGAATGAAAAAGTTTACTGGTTATGTCCAACGTGAATTTTATTGGGATGTTGGAATAAAGATTGGTGACGTCAAATGATACCATTAGAGATTCTCTTGAATTAACGACCGTAAAACTGGGTTTGAAATTTGTCATTTTTAGGATGTTTAGCATGAATTTTCTTCATTGTCTTATTTATTTAATACCAATTACCCTAATTATTCCTTATAAGTAATAATTACACTAAACAAATTCACACTACAATTTAAATCTTTCTATGTTAATTTTTTTTGTAGCGGAAATATATCAACGGGAATAATATATAACGCAATGAAAGTATTAAATAATCTTGTACTGACTTCACACTTGAAATGCACTTTACCTCAAAAATGTACAGAAAGCAAACGACACGTAAAACTTTAATAAAAACGAGACACAAGTATGACTATACCGCTTTGAGAAAAGTACCAATTTTTTTTGTCTTTAATGTTTATTTCCGAAAAGTGATATAAATACACTAAATATTACATATATGATATTTCTCCCGTATATACGTTCATTGGTTAATATATAATAACAATTTAAAAATAAGCCATTATAATTTCAATTATTACACCTCGGCAAGGACGAACAATGCCGAATATTCCCGAATATTCAACGGCAGCGACATCTAACATTGCAACCCCTGAACTACAAACTTGATTTATTGATTTTCTACATCGTGTCAGCCCCCTGCCCCTTAAGTGGGAATACTAATACAGTCACTTTCAATAATTTTTTATTCACGTCACTAGAAATAAAAAACAAGTAATAAGTGAACAGTTTTATTGCCAAATAGTGCAGAAAATCTTAACTTATGATGTTTCACATTTTTCCTATAAAATGATATCAGTTCTTAGATTTGGAAGGTCCAAAACTTCAACAATTTGATTGTTTAATATCAACATGGGAAAACAAAACAAGAATAATTTTTGGAACTTTTTCGCAGAAAACTCACTGCTATCGATTCACAGTTGTTGTTTACAATAACCTGCCGGATGAAGTAATTTGAATTTTTTTATTAGACCTAGCATCATATTAGGTCTAGGAATAGTAAAAAATTATGGAGCCCAATTTAACTGCTTTTTGTAGGATCCAGTCTTCTTCGTCATCGCCACTAGCCGAAAATATTTCAGTTCCTATTGATGTATCAAAAGCATAAAGTGAATAAGTGTCGGTAACTTCCTTCTCTGGCTCAATAACAGCATTATTATCAATAGTCTTAATAAAATTCCCAAACTAGATTTTTCCTTACTGTATTTCTCTTTTTCATTTCATTTTCAATTTTCTTTTCTTACCTGGCACTTAGGGCTTGCAATACCGGACCGAAATCTCAATACCGGTATTCGGTATTCAAAATTTTTAAAACCGGGATACCGGTATTAATACCGGTATTACTATAAAAAAGTTTACTCATTAAATTACAATCACTAAATATATCTAATTGTAAGAATTTTTCCCCTCCGCGGCGTCATCTCTACTAACAATAGGTTAATTCCTACTATATTTTTAGATTGGCAACAAAGCAGAAGATACAGAATCTGAGAAGATAATCAAAAAATGGAAAGATACTAGGAATCTGTACAAAGTACCAATAAACTTAAAGGTCTGGATACCATTATTATTTTGTTGTCTTTCACTTGGTCCAAAGGTTCAACTTCACTGCTACGTCAAAAAATAAAATTACCCTTCATCATCTGAAGCTCTGTGGAATTCTTTCGAATTCCTGTTTTGGAATTTTCTGGAAAGGTGCAGATTCAAGAAAGAAACTTTAACATAACGGCTCTTGGTAGTTTGTCAGACTTATCATACTACTGTTATACTTGGTGGGACATTACACGAATCAAACTGACCTGAAACACCATTATGGAGTAAAAACTCCAAAAATAGTTGTATGCAGAGACTATTTTATTATTTCCCTCAAACATTTAATATCCACTTTTGAACCACCAAAAAAACTAGCTACGTATTTGTTTTTATTGATTCACAAGAAGCAACCAAAAATCAAAAATATTTTAACACTTACAAAAGGTATAAGCTCCATTTTCAATCAACTCCATAAAACACCTAAAAGCAGTGTCATTTTTATAGTACCAATGTCGATTCTCAGTAGTGTCGCCTACACTCTGCTTTGTTTTCCTATATAATTTGAAAATGTCTCCATGTTTCCTTTGTCCCATTATCCCCACTTCTCCCCCATACAGTGTGTCCGTAAAGTAATGGATATAGGCGATAAAATCATTATAAACGGTTTATGGAAAACTCCCTGAAACGGGTCTAAAGATTTAAATTTGTTGCAATTTTTTGGTGTCGTTTTCAACTTCTTTCCGCCAAATTTTTAAACAAGTTATGACATCATCGATACTTTTTTCAAATGGTAATCTGAATATACTACAGTGACTATTAATATTGGTTACATAATTTTCGAGAAAAATTATTTTAAAGTTTAATACTGCAAAGTTGTTTAATGATAAAAATAGTAGTAGCCATGGGTAACTATGGTAAGCAATTATTTTAAACAAGTCCCTGAGTGTCAAAAACTGATTTTGCTTGACGTCCTTTTCCACCTGGAATGCGTCAGTCTGCTCGTTCTCAAGTCTTACGTGGTATTCTCGTAGAGACCGCGACTTTCTGCGAAACTATATGGAATATCAGAAAAATAAAATATACCCATCATTAAGAATACATCAGACCATCACCTGTTCAATGTTGGAATTTTCGTCGTACAATTTAAAAAAAAAAAGAATCGCGAAGTGGACAAAGTTACCGGCATATGTTACGTAGAAATATTCTGTTATTATAATGAACTTTACCGCAATTTTTTTCATCTAGTGGTTGAGAAGATACCGATCTTTTAAGTGAAAGGCCTTGACTTTTGGCACGGATAGTAGTTGGTTGATAGTGGTGGACCTTAACCTGCCAGTACACGCGTTTAATTAAATTTAAAATTTATTATCCGAATTTTATTATTTACTTTTTTGTATTAAATCCATATAACTTAATCCACTTGCTTCATATGCTCAGATATGTGCAGATTTACTACTTTTATTATTATTAATGTATTATATTCAACAAAAATTAGAACTAACACTCGCTTGCAATAGGGAGCGAAAAAGATATTATTTACACAATAAATTATATTGAACTAAAACTAGAACTAACACTAGCATTATAACCTTCTACAGAAACAGGTCCAAGTGTTCAAAATATACAACTTAGCTTTGAATAACAACTAAAATTAAAATCAACATACACAAAATTAGAGAGATTCGGGTTTAGCCGTGCGTTCAGAAGTGTTAGTGTTAGTTCTAAATTTAATTCAATAAAAATGTACAATAATCTAACACTGAATAATAACTAAAACTAGAAGTAATATTAGAATTAGAAACATTTAGTTTATGCTGTGCGTTTTTTATCTATCTTATCAATCTATAATGATTTGACACCAACAAGTTTATTAGAAAGACGCTTATTTGGACTTTTGCCCCAAAACACGTGCATTCTTGTGTCAAGACTGTAGAAATTGTATGTAACATTTTTAATAATTTCAATTTTTAACGGAGGTTTCTCACCAATTTTATCCACCATGTATACATTCGGGAGTCAAGCTGCATCTTACGGTTCTAGTAGTCGAGATGAGAATCGCATTAATCGATCTGACCAAGGTGTGTCTGATGCTGTTAAGAACGTCGCGATTTTCACAAAACTATGCATTGACCTAAAACTAGAAACATTCCGGTTTACCCGTCTTACGAGACGCACGGCTAAGCCTGAATGTTTCTAGTTCAAAGTCTAGTATTAGTTATATCATTGTTTATAGCGTATATAGTTAGCTCATCCAATGCTTTTATTTGACTCCACGTTTTTAGTTGATAATATTCTCCAGAGGTGGCGCACTTTGTATTAAACTTGTTAAATATGACGTAGTAGCATATTATTTGCTGATTGTGAAATAATGCCACCTATAAATCAATAGCATAAAAACAGAATAAATTCGTTCGAGAGAGAAACGAATATTCACAAAAGGATAGTATGATACGGCTATGATCACCTCGTTTGTGTGAAATAAAAATATTCTAAAGAGCAATAACAATTAGGGATTGTCAAAAAAAGTTGGAGAATGATTTGTGTATTATGGAAAACATAAATACGAAAAAAATATGTATTTTATCAGTGAAGAAATAAATAAATAGATGAATACTTTTTTTCTAAAGTTATTGATTTTTTCACCAGAAAAGTATTAAAAATAAGGGTACTGAATATTGATTAAACTAGTAGAAT